TAAAACGTCATTTTCAATGTACAATATGCGTATGTATGCATGTGTTTATATTTACACATAAAAATGTTTTACATTAAGATTGAACAGTTGTTATTTTGTTATAGAAAATTGCAACAACAAAGTTGATTGCCCTCACAACAGTCATTGAACTTTTAAAACTAACAGCTGTCTAATAATTACGAGACCTGCTGAATTTACAATATTTTCGCTAGTTAATAATTAGCTAATTGTGTAAATGGCTTATACTGTAGTATTCCAAGATGTAAGTATTATTAAAACATCAAACTTTGATGTATTTGCAATTTTTAATGTCAAGAAATAAGTTATTTAAAACCAGCTTTGCCCGCGACTTTGTCCACGCAATGTTAAGATAAAAAAGTAGCCAATAATATGCCCGTCTACGTCAGCTATCTTTTAGTGAAAGTCCCTTCGAAATCGGCCTGGTCGTTTCGGAGATCACCCGGAACAAACCCATCTTGCGGACTGACAGAGACAAAAAAAAATCGATTTCGTTATCAGCAACGTTATCATCATCTTCCCGACATCTGGAATTTTTCTTTTGATCTTACAGACATTGTAATTTTATTATATAGATAGAGGATTTCGTGAAAAAATACTTTTAGCAAATAATAGTTATTTACTCCTACATTGTTACATTTATTTTGATGATGAGTGTGTTAATAGTTATTACGTTTCGATAGACAAAAATGGTAGGCATTTATACAAAACTGTCATATAGGCAGTTTATTAAGTAAAATTGGCTTACAATTTTAGACAAAACTACATATTTGTGGTTGTTACGACACATCTGTTATTCGATTTTTTTGTATGTATTTTGTAATTTAACTTTCTCAATATAAATCTAATTTTATGTTATAAGCTTACGTTACTTTGTAATAAAAGGGCACATCTAAGCATAGTTTCCGCTGCTAATAAAAAAAACCTTGATTTCACTCAGCACATAATCGTTGATCAAACAAATTACAAAGCGTTAAAACAAGCGAAAAGCGCGGTTTTTGCCCTTCAAAAAGAGGTGAACGATCTCAGGTCTCATTGCCTCAAAAAAGATAGCCAAGAAAGCGAAAGATGGATTGAACCGAAGTTAACTATCGCGTGAGTTAAAAGTCGTTTTAGAATAGCAAAAAAAGCCATCGCAAACCGGTTGATATACCGAGCACACGGACCGGTGCGGATCTTACCGATGGTATTTCAATTTTGCAATTTTTTATCGATTTAGCAACCTTATTGGATTGTAAATTGAAAATTTCACTCTCTACATTTATGCCATTCATGAATTTATATGAAGTGAAAGACATACCTATATAACGAGACAAGAAAAATGTATTAAAACCAGTAGATTTAAAAAATCAATTAGTCCTTTTGACTTTATTTCCATGAAATACCATATAAACAATTAAGACAAGTAAAGGAGAAAATGCAAAACAAACATACTGAAGTAAAATAATATTATTAAATAACAAGTTACAATAAAATTAAGTGAATTCCCTCGTTAACCAAGTACCGGTATCTTAGCAGGCGGATTTGCATTTAACGGCAACAAGTGAATCATACTGCTAGAAAGTAAAAGCAGCAGGTTAATATTTCAATATGGGATTCTTTCTTTTAAATTACACGATAATAAAAGGGACAATTTAAAAAACCAATGATTTATTGATTCCGGGAAAGTTCCGAAAAGGAAACGACACTCTGTAATATAATATACTCTATGACAATCCGTAGAAGAATACTGGCAGTTCACTTTCCAAAATAGGCTTAGCTGTTGCTACTAAAAAAATGAGATTATTCAGTCAATCGAAATTATATTTTTAATGAACGCTATCTTTGTATCTAAATTATATTTTAAAGTTTGAATTTATGTAAAGAAACTGTAAATATAAAGTATGATCAATGTTGGTTAGTTACCAACGTACACGGAAGTGACCTTGTATTGTGTAGCGATGCGGGTCTAGCATGACGCCACGTCACTATTCAAGCGGTCCCATTGAAAAATATCTATTCCTGTAGTACGATGTAAATAAATGAACAATAATTTTAAAATTGGAATCTCCGTAAAGATAATTAATTGTACACAGTCTATAATTGGTTCCTAAGGAAAGTTCTTAATGTAGATTTTTCACCTCGAATAACAAGAGTGATTACTTAACTTCTCTTTGTTACCATTGAATAACTGGTGCGAAAATTTTTGATATTTTTTTTGTCTTATACGTCACCAGGATGATGGCAGAAGGGGAAGATATCCTCCCTACCTTGAGAAGTTTGATATAAATATTTTTTAGAAACAGAATAATACGTGGCAATCAGGTGTCACGGCAATAGAAATATCAAAAACACTAAAACAATGACAATACAAAATGTATTATCACATTGTCGATTAAACGCATACAATAGCTTCTAGCTTTTTTACAATAAGAAATTGTAGATAACAAATGTTTAATCGGTTTACCGAGTGTTGTCATCGAAACGCGATGCAAAGAGAATCACATGGCGAAGCTAAACAAAAACAAGGATTCTCACGTGCGTACAATGAGCGCGGAAAGTTGTGCGAACGCGACACTAGCGCCAAAGAAAGCTGGAAGAATAAACGATTCATCTTATATCTGGCTGCAAAAAGAAAAATTTCAAAGTTCACGCAAAACTATTAAACAACGCTTGAGATCTTTACCTTATTCGTTATATTATAATGTAATAGTTTGACAACTAACATCTCAAAGTTTTTTTGTAACATTTTACTTAGTTTATGATGACGTAGGTTAGGAACATAAGCGCACAACTTTGATCTCCAGTAAATATCTAATCCGGCTCCTAAGGGAACCCTTTGAGTCTAGTTGCTCATAAACATGGTTTAGGCTAAGCACGATCTGCGCTCGGCCACCTCAAGTCCGGCAAATCTGTAAACGCCTCGACAAGGCAAACAATGGCAACTAAGTCACAAAAAAAGTGCTTAAGAAAGTTGTTTTTTTTTATGCTCAATCAATTGATTTAAAATTCTTGTTTTTTAGATTTTAAATTAGGAATGTATATTCGATCCTTTGCAGATAATTACTAGAGGATGCACGCAATGTTTTTTTCTAGCCTCTGTTATCATACATCATCAGTAACATAGTCCTGATACATTAATATCGGATTTAATACAATTTTTTGTTACACAGTTTCTTATTAAAAAGTTACTCGATGCTCGCAAAATCCTATGATTTTTTGTTACGATATCTATATACCAGTACAAAAAAAACAATCATTCCAAAAAATGAACAAGAGACTGGTAAAAAGAAAAAAAAAACATTGAGAAACAAAACTTACTTTGTTGAGATAAAAACTGCAGCAGTCATAATGTTTATCAAAAGCGCACAACGAGCTTTGAATGCTCGGAAATCGGTTCAGAAAAAAATAGCGTTTCCCTGTCATGATAGTTTAAATTTCGCAAATGCATACCAGATTCAAACTATATTTCGTTTATTGAAAAGTTTCTGAAGAGTCAATAAAATAACTTTTAAATCGAAAGGTGAAACAGTTTGATTTTCTAAATATTAAAAATACTCAAAAAAGTTTTTCTATTAACAGCAGGTATTACGTCACTAGCTGCTAACCATGAAACGTCAATTTTAGTAAAGCGAGACGCAGGTATCTCTGGATACGTTTATCTCGCTCTATCTTACGGTAAAGTAATAGGCGAGACGGTCGCGGAGTGCGATCCAACCGTGAACCGCGCAAAAACATTGCGAGCAGAGAAATTTCCGTCATATTCCAGTTTTTGTTTCATGTAAATCGCTTTATAACGGAATATTCGCATCGAACGCGATAATGTCGAGCAGAACAAAGTGAATCTTTCCTTATTTCTAGAACTTATAATCGGATATTATTTTATTATTTAACCGAATATTACGAGCTGTCTTTCAATACCCTGATATTTACCTATATTATTTAAGTACCTTGAGAGTTTTACAAGTGATAATTCCCCAGTTATTTGTGACGAATTACCTCCGGCAATGGGAACAAAAAGGACTCTTTGTTCTTGACTACTCTTATTGTCTTTGGTTCCTTGATTTGCTTGATCGTACTTTATAGGACCTCCATTATTATCCTTTTAAATAGGTAGGTAGGTAGTTGATAGTTACCAAAATTTACCTCGGACGAAGAAAATAATACCAAGCGGCTTGCATATGCAATTCCATATGAACGTTGAAGAATTTGTAGTACCTACCATTTACTGTACTGTTGGGGTTACAGTTTTATAGATCTTAGTCTAGATGGATCCTAACTATGTGCAATAAATTAAACCAAGATAAAAAGGACGTGCAGAAACCGTGGTACGTGACATTCGTGTAATGCACCGAGACACGGCCCTAAACAACTCTTGGTACTAGGCAGCAAAGAGTACGCTTGTTATGTAAAAATATCTCTTCCATATTAACATTAAAAAATGAAGACTGATGGATTAGACGATTTATCGTAGGGCAATGCTGATATATATACACCCCTTGTAAAACGTAAGCATAGAATTAGAACAATAACAAGCACCATACTGTACAGGCCAAATGAATGAGAAACACTACAAAGTCTTT